TCCAACTCAAAAACAAAAAAAAAGTCACATTAAATGTAAGTAGTCTAAATATCCCAATTAAAAGCCAGAGATTGTCACATTGAATAAGAAAGACCCAACTATATGCTACCTACAAGAAACAGACCTTAAATATAAACCCAGAAATAAAAGTAAAAGAATAGAAAAAGATTTACTATGTTAACACTACTCAAAAGAAAGCTACACATTAATATCAGATAAAGCCGATTTCAGAGCAGAAAATATTACCTGCAATAAAGAGGATCATTTCATAATGGGGTCACTATGAGGAGTCTGTTTCTCAAGAATACATAAGCAGAACTGATATCAGAAGCAGAAACTGATAGAACTATAAAGAAAAGATAACTACAATTATAATCAGAGATTTCAAAATTTCTCCCTCAATAACGTAAACAGGAAGATAGATCAGTAAAGATATACAACACTTGAACAATACTATTACCTAACTTGACCTAATTAACATTTATAGAACACTCCACCTATCAATTCTATACAAACTATCCCAGAAAATAGAAGAGGAAAATACATTTGCCAATTCATTCTATGAGGTCAACATTACTTGATACTAAAACCAGACAATCATTACAAGAGGGAAAAAAATCAACAGCTGTCATAAACATAAATACATAAATTCTTAGAAAATTTTTAGTAAATTATATCCAACAATATATTAAAACAATAATATATCATGACAAATTGGGGTTTATCCCAGTAACACAAAGATAGCTTAACATTTGAAAATCAATGTAATTCACCATATTAACAAACCAAAAAAAAAAAAAAGAATATAGTCATCTTACTAGATATATACCTGTAATATGTGCATTTTTGGTCTGGCTTCTTTCACCCAGCTTAATTACTGCGAGATTCATCTTTGATATATTGATATTCCATTTTTTTTATTGCTGAGTAGTAGTCCATTATATAAACATGTGGCAACATTCATTCATTGTTGATGGAAATTTGAGTTGCTGCCAGTTTGAGGGTATTACAAATAATGCTGCTATGAGCATTCGACTGCAAGTCTTTTGAATGGATATAAGCTTTCATTTCTTTTGGGAAAATAACTAGGAGTGGAATACATAGATCACATGTTTAGCCTTTTAAGAAACTGACAAACTGTTTTTCAAAATGGTTACACCTTTTTACATCCCCACTATTAGTGTATGAGTTTCTATTACTTCATATTCTCTTCAACAATGGGAAGTTGTTTTAATCTCAGGCATCCCAGTAGGTGTGCAATAGTGTCTCATTGTGGTGTTAATTTGCATTTCCCTATTGTGGTTTTAATTTGCATTTTCCTAATGACTAATGATGATGAGCTTCTCTTCATATGCTAATTGCCATCTGTGTGTATATATATATATTTTTTTTTTTTTTTCATATTATCTATTTTAGTAGATACAGAAAAAGCTTTTTGTAAACTCTAAAATCATTTGATGATTAAAAAACTCAGCAAACTGGGAACGGAAGCCAACTTGTTAACTTGATACAAGGTATCTATAACAAAGCCTATAGCAAACATGATACTGAACAGTGAAATATTAAAAGCTTTCCATCCAGATAGGGAGGAAAACTAGCACAACTGCTGTCATCCTCTTTTCAACATTGTACTGAAGGTCTCTCGCCAGTACAAAAGTCTATATAAACTATATTAAAATATAGTAAAAATATATAAAACATATGGATCAGAAAGAAAGTTGTCATTATTCACAGATGACAAGATTACATATAGAAATTTCAAAAGAATCTACAGATACCCTATAAGATATCATGGTTGGATTTAGCAAGGTCACTGGAATCAAGGTCAATATACAAAAATCAATTTATTTTATTTGTATAACAACAACAATTACAATGAAATTAAAATATTACCATTTATAACTGCATAAAAATCAAATGCCTAGAGTAGATATAATGAAGACATGCAAGACTTCTACACAGAAAACTGTGAAATGTTGAGACAATTTAAGACAATGTAAAGAAAGAATATATTCATGGATTGGAGTACTTAATATTATAAAGAGGTAAATTATCCCTAAAGTGATTTTTAGAATTTGTGCAATCCAAATTAAAATGAGAGTAGGAACTTTTTAAAACATGAATAAGGCAACTATAAAATGTATATGGCTGCCCATATTTGATCATTACACATTGTATGCTTGTATCAAAATACCACATGTACCCCTTAAAGTATGTATCCATAAAAATTAAAAATAAAAAGATAAAATAAATTTATATGGAAATGCAATGGAGCCAAGAATTGCCAACATAAACAGAGAGGCACAGAGTTGAAAATCTTATATTGCCTCTGTAATATAACTGTATAACAAGTTATACAGTTACAGTAATTAAGACAGTGTGATATATGAACAGAATAAAGAATCCAGAAGCAGACCTGCATATACATGGATGCTTGGTTTATGACAAAGATAGCAATAGCAATACAGAGTAGTACAGAAAGAATGGCCTTTCAATAAATGATGCAGGGTCATTTGGCTATACTTATGGAAAACTAGAGACCTGCGTCTTCTTCATACAGAAACAATTTCAAGTAAATTGTAGATCTAGATGTAAAGGTAAAATAATATAGTTTCCAGAAGAAATAATCTTGAGATGGGCAAGACAACCTTAAATAGAGCAGACATATACACTAACCATAAAGGAAAGACTGATGAACTGTACTATATTAAAATTAAGAGCCAGGCTTGGTGGCTCGGCCTGTAATCCCGCGCCTTTGGGAGGCTGAGGTGAGTGGATTGCCTGAGCCCGCGGGTTCAAGACCCGCCTTGGCAACTTGGCGAGACCTCATCTCTACAATAAAATCAAAAAATTACCCAGGCGTGGTAGTGCGCCTGTAATTCCGGCTACTCGGAAGACTGAGGTGGAAGGATAGCCGGAGCCCGGCAGGTCGAGGCTGCGGTGGCCGGGAGCGGCCACTGCACTCCAGTCTGGGCAACAGAGTGAGACTCCAACTCAAAAAAAAATTAAAATTAAAATTAAATTAAATTAAAAGGAGGCCGGGATTGGCTCATGCCTGTCTGTAATCCCAGTACTTTGGGAGGCGGAAGCAAGAAGATTGCCTGAGCCCACAGATTCGAGGCCAGCCTGGGCAACTTGGCAAGACCTCATCTCTACAATAAATTAAAAAAATTAGCTGGATGTGTTGGCACACACCTGTGGAAGAATCGCCTGAGCCCAGCAGGTCGAGGCTGCAGTGGCCATGAGCATGCCATTGCACTCCAGGCTAGGTGATAGAGTGAGACTCCAATTCAAAATTAAATTAAATTAAGAGTTTCTGTTTTTTAGCCCATGAAGGGAGTGGAAAGGAAAGTCACAGACTTGGGGAATATATTTACCTGCAGTCAATAAATGACTTGTTTCGAGAATGGTTTTAAAGAACTCTTATAAATAAGAAGAGGACAGAATGGCTTAGAGAACTCCTATAAATAAGAAAAAAAGAAAAATCTAGTAGAAAAAAATGGACAAAAAAATTTGAACAATCCAGTCTCCAAATAAAATATCCAGAAGGCCAGCTAACATATGAAAAAGTGCTCAATCTCATTGATCAGAGAGCAATGCTACTTAAAACTATTATGAGCTAAAAATGGTGAGGATTTAGAGCAATTGAAATTGTGAGGAAGTAAAATTAGCACAACTACTTTGGAAAACTGTTTGGCAGCATCAGTTAAACCTATCCTAAACATAACCTATAACTCAGCAATTTTTCTAGGTACAGACCAAAAAAACAAAGATATATATGTCCCACAAGACATTTACAAGATTAGTCATAGACACTTTTATTCATAATAGCCCCAAAGTGAAAACAATCTAAATGTCTTCCAATAGTAGATTAGATAAATAAATTGTGGTATATTCAAACCATAGCAGTGAGATGAACAAATAACTGATACAAGAAACAACATAAAGTTACATGTCTGAAACATAAATGAAAAAAAGCCTGAGAGAAAACAGTTCATACTGTATGATTCAAATTTATACAAAGTTCACAAACAGACTAAAGATATTAATGATATGAGTAGTCAGGAAAGCTGTAGTGTTTACTTTTATAGAGAAGGGGGATAATATCTGGGAAGGGACAAAGCCAGAGCTTCTGGAATGCTGTTGCCATTCTGTGTCTTGGTCTGACAAGGGATTCTGCAGGCAGGGCTTTCTTTGTGAATATTCATTAAGCTATAGAGTTGTGATTCGTGCATTTTTCTTGAATGTATATCATGCTTCAATTTAAGGAAACATTAAGGAAAAAGAGCGTGCAAAATTAGAGGATGAGAGGAAGAAGGAGAGATCCATCTCTGGGTTTGAGAGTGGCAGCTACCCTGGAAGCCCACAAGGGAGGGAGTAATACCCCCAAAAGAAAGAGCAGTGGAGACTGGGAGAATCTCAAAACGAGGTTTCCACCCTCAGCAGTGATTCCTAGTGCATACTAGCAAAACCAAAAGGACACATGGGCTGAGACAGTGGGGATCGCAGTGTGGATGCTTGACCAATGACCTCCCCTCCCCCACCCAGTCTCCTGCCATCACACCATCTCTTTCTAAGGGGAAGGATCCAAACTAGAAGCAGTCCTGAAGAAATAGAATTTGTGCCAATAATGGCTGGAGTTACCCTTTCCAACAACCCAGGAGGCTGGGGACTTGCAGTCAGAATTCACGTTGAATTTTAGGATATAAAGATCTCTTACGCATCTAAATTTGAACAGATTCTTACCAGATACATGAAAATAACAAGTCTGGCTTTTTTGTTCAGACTTCCCCCTTCCTTCGCATCCTTTCTTCTCAAAGCTTCTTCCCAATCATCACCCTTGAAGCAGGGGGACCTGATGTCACCCATCTGACATGCCTTAAGGATATAACCCAGTATTCACTATATTCCCCCCAAACTGGCTCTTATGTACTAAAATGAACAAATGTCAGGATATCTCTCCTCCCCGCGAAGATGTGAGTTACTGAAGTTTGCCAGACCTTTCTGTATTTTGTCAGCATGTCTGGGATGTCTGCCTGTGTGTTTGTCTTTCTGGGCGGAGTTGTCCATGGTAGCAAAGTCCTGTGATGTATTCCATTTGCTTGATGAAAATCTCTACCGCATGTTCTTCTAAGCACCTGAAACAACCAAATCCAGCATTTGTAGAAATCGTTTCACATTGTTGTTAATTATTGCCATTGTGTTCTGTTGCATCAGCAGAACAGACTGAGAAATGGTGTGGCTTAAATTCACCAAGCCCCGTGAATTAGAGTCTTAGATCTACCAAGTCCAGTGACTCCAAGTCCAAGCACATGGTGTTGCCCACGGTAGGAACTCTGTAAGTTCACTGCTGATATTGTTTCTCGAGCCACTGAAGTCTTAGATTTTATTTTTATCTTATAAATTTAGATTTACTAAGATGTAGTTTACATACAGGTAAAAACGCATCAGTGTTAGGTATACAATTCCAAGTTTTTGCAAATGTTTACAGTTGGGCTAAATACCACCACAATTAAGATATAAATGGGTCGGGTTCGGTGGCTCAGCCTGTAATCCCAGCACTTTGGGAGGCCGAGGTAAGTGGATTGCCTGAGCCCACGGGTTTTGAGAGCCGCCTGGGCAACTTGATGAGACCTCATCTCTACAATAAATCAAAAAATTAACTGGGCGTGGTAGCGCGCG